TAACCATAATAATAATATCTACTATAATATTACTAATATTAGTAGTATAAATAATGATTAACACTAAATAAAAAGATAACAAAAATGAAATGACAGTAATATTATATACACTACCTAGGTTTAATTAGTATATTGTTGTTTGGGAATATCAAAAGGGAGCAAGTTATGGTAGGCTCGGGTAAGAGAGCAATTGGGTGCGGCTGCTTTGGTTGGTGAGAGATCGGAAGATAGGGGCTAGGACAAGAGATCGCAGGTGAGTTCGGATATGGCTTCGGCTCACAGGAGAGGAGGCGATGGAATCTTGGGGAGGAAATGGTATGTCGGCTCTCTCTCTCACTCTCTCTCCGTCTCTCTCACTCTCTTTCTCTCTGTGTGGATCGGTGCAAGGTGAGGCTCGGAGGTTGGGAAGATTTTGGGAAGAAGGAAGAGGTGTCGGCGTCGGACTGGAGTCGCTCTAGCGTCGGCTGAGGGTTGGGTTTTGCCGTGGATGGGAGAGATCAACGACTTCAGAGATCGGGATTCGGTCGTGGGTTGCGAATGGAGGAAGCCTGCGGCTTGTGGAGGTTTGCGGGGGAAGAGGTCTCGAAGGCTTCCATGGGTCCGGTATTTAACGACGAAAAAAGCATAGCTGGCGCGTGATTTGAGCAGTTTTCCCGGGAAGAGACACGACTCCAGTGGCGTCGGCACTGAACAATGTCATGTACGCGGGATATCTTGCGGTGGAAATTTGGGCGTCTCGACGAATACGAGGTATGTATGCGGGATTTCTCTTTTTTTTGTTGTTTCTGTTTCTTTGTACATAGGTTAGCATTGCATATCAAACTTCTTCCACTTTTTCTTTCCCTTTTCCTGTAAAGACAACCAGTAAGAAGTAGTTGATAAGCTAAGAGGCCCAGCAAATTATATAATCTAAATAACAGTTATAATATAAGAAGAGGAATAAATCAAAACCTTGAAGTCACAAAGCATTAAACCCACATTTAATGATAACAACAACAAAAATTTTAATTAGCATTATTCTTTATCTCTTCGAGGTTTCACTGAATATCAAAATTAAATATGTAAAAGACTTGGTTATAAATTTATAACAATATTCAATGGAGCCCATGTAACCCTGGCATTATCGCAATTGAATTACATTGAGGTCCCTTTTGCCCCACCTACAATACGTGTTTAGTAATTGGGTCCCTTTTGCCCACCTGATGTTGTAGACATCATTTCATAATATAGCCAATCTTTATTTTTAATTTAATATTTCTTACTTCATACCTTCATAATTCATATATGATTTTAATGGTTATAAACTTCAAGTATGCTTATACTCGTACATCTGGTGTATTAAGAATTAAATAGCTACTAAGTTAAAACAAAAACTTCTTTGAATAAAATTGTCAGTTAAAAAAAGGTTGAGATAAGCACATTTAAACATTTATCAAATCTCTCTTATTCTTATGGATAGACAGTTGTGAATATCTTAATGTATTCTCACGATGACTAACCAAATTCTCATAATGCATCTCTTTATAATAAGCTTTCAAAACATAAGGAATAAATTAACCATTCATGACGATTACAATTATAAATAATTACATAATTTACCTTCCTGATGAGTGATCTTTTCAAAACCTATACCATGAAGCCTTTTCCTTTGATACACAAACCCAAAGCTTTCTTTCTGCATAAATCTATGAATAATTCTACCATACAATTAGGTTATCATCGTTAGAAATGTTACTAAATTTAGGTGACATAAAAGATAAAAATTAATAGTATACTTCTCACCTTTTCTTCATTTCTTTCTGTTATTCTTTTCTTCTATTCTTCCTTTCTCTCTTCTCCAAGCTACCATCTTAATTCATAATTCTTTCAACTAGTTTGCATACTCACATCACTACAATTCATAAAAATCTGATCATTTTACTTACCTGCAATTGTTTCCCTTCTTTCACAATTTCTACAAAACTTCCTTTCAATGAAATATTTTGAATTCCATTGAACCACAGAACCACTGTTTGCACAAGTAAATTATGCGATTTCTTCAGTGTCCAGCGGCACTTGTCCGCCTCTTCTACAGTGTTCTCTGCACTATGCCGAGACCAATATCATTTCCGCAAGAAGCATAGTGCCGACACTGCTGCAGGCCTCCTATCTCCGCCTACAACCTCCGAACCAGGGAACAGTGATTCCTGGACTTCTAGCCGAACCCTCTCAAGGAAAAATTCTGCACCGAAAACCTTCTCTAGCCATCTCTATGGGATATCCACGGTTAAGAAGATAATATTAATGGAAAGTGGGTCCCACATTCTAACTGCTCACCCAAAAGACTCCAGTGAATACATCCCTTCCTCTAAGTAGAAAATAATTTTAATAATTAATTAACTAACTTATACATAACATAATCTATTAATACTAATTTAATTAAACACTAATTAAGTATAATTTACCTGAATATTACCTGTTCTCACATGTATCCTCTTGCATCTCGTTGGGACACGAGGTAAGCTATTCTGATTGGTATACATGCATCTACTTGAAGTATAACTGAGTGGTCGAGATGATTTTTAGAAGCGTTGATTAATTATCTAGTTATGCCCTGACCTTAGTGTATTTTTGAAGAACTCAAAGTGTTCATTAAGCGTTTGATATTCATAATGTATGTTATAGAGATATTTAAAATTTGATGGCACTAAGGTGATTCAACCTAAGGTGTGGGGTCTGTGGAAGTGAGGTGAGGTTCCATATCCTTTGCTGACATGCTCTAGTTCAATAACTATTTATTTATTTTTGTATTAAATTCCTGAATATTTTTTTTACAACTTGCATATTAAGTATGTTTTATTTGAGATTTTTTGTTTTTGGGGTGGTGCTGGTGCTCCACTCTATTTCACTTATACAATGACCCAAGTACAAGTCCTGTTCCCTGCCTTCTAGGAGTAATTTATTAAAGTTCACACAGTTGAGTTTTAGGCATTTTACCCATCACAATTTTCTCATTATTAGTTAATTAATACATTTTATATTCACTTTAATACTATTTCGTTTTTTTGTTTGAAAGTCCTGCGTAAGATTGTATTACTTTGACATGCTTGTTTATTTGTCATAAAGTTAATGCAAAGGATTTAGTTCAAATTTGGCAACGTTTTTGCATCGCCCATATAAAGATGTGTCAAAATAATATGATGGGCCTTTCCACCACACAAATAAATTCATGTATCGGACATTATGTCCAAAAAAATTGTCTCATTGCATCAAGAAAGAAGTTTATAGGTAGTGTGGAAAGCACGTAGATAAGGGCATTGTATATCCCCATGCCAAGAAAGACGTTTGCGGCCATTTTAGAGAGCTTCCTCCATGAAAAGTGATGGGTTATATTAAAATAATCTCCTATCATGCCGATAAAGTTTTGCGTGTGGAGTGAGCAAGGGTGCAGAAAATTCTCTCTTATACATTGTGCAATATCGCCAGGTTTTTGCTAGATGGAGAGACTAAGAGAATGGAGAGGGAGGAAAGATTGTAATGGTAGCTTTGAAGTGGTTAGGGTATTTTAAGAGTAGATTGGGAAGTTGGATTTTTTGCTTAGGAGATGTGGGATACTGCTAGTAAAGCCCTCCTTAATTTCTCTAAGCATTAGTTACTTTTTTGTGTTTTAGTTTGCATCTTTTCTAGTTAGATCTGGCGAGAATGGTGAGCATGAAAGTTGCAGATGATCAATTCCAGAAGTTACCCTCCAAAGTTGTGCAAATTTGATGAGAAATGAGTGAATTATGTCTCAATAAATGAGAAGTGGCTGTGATTTTCGAAATTCATATTTCGGTTTTATTGCTATGATTGCGTCATGTTGAATTAGAATTGGCTAAAGTCGTGAACATAAAAGTTGGATAGAATTTAGTTGAGAATCTACTCTCCAAATTTGGTTCAATTATGCAACAATGAAGGTAGTTATTTCCATATTGGTGATAAGGGGTTATTGCAATTTTTGAAATTCAGAATCTGGTTTTCTCACTTTTCGGAATTGACTAAAGTGGTGTACGCAACACATTGAATCACATTGGGAACCTATGCTTTAACTGGTGAGCAAAGTTCAGCGTAATTTCTGAATTCAGATTTCGTGTAAAAATGCGTTTGACTGGATCGGAATGGATGGAATATGTGAACATGGAAGTCATAGAGAATTGAGTAAAGATCCTGCCAGTCAGATTTCATGTCATTTTGACAAGAAATGAGAAGTTATGTTCAAAATAATGGGAAAGTTGTTAGTCAATAATTTCTAAAATTCAGGTTTCGTACTCCTACTTTATGTAAAAATTGCTATTGATTGGGTTGAAATCAACCAGTCGTTAACACCAAATATCGTGATTCCTGAAATTCAGAATTTGCTACTCTCAATTTAGGAAAATCCCGTCTTGTTATGTTATGATCAGCCAAAATGTTGAACGTGAAAGTTGAAGAGGGCCGTGCTAGCTTTCCATTAATATGGTGATCGTACAATTTCTATTAGAAATTAGAGAGTTATGTTCAATTTAGTGAGAAATGGTTGAGCTTGAGCCAAAATTAGATTAATCATAGGGCTTGATTGGAGTTTGATTTGGTGCAACTGGGCTTGTTTGCACCGTTTATTATTGCAGATGGATTGGAGCAATCCGATCAATAAAATGAATGTAAATTTCATAATATTGTTTGTTTTTTTATTTCATGCTATTTTCATGCATGAAAATTTTCTCTAGATCCATTCCATGTGAAAATTATGTCCATTTCCTGAATTCTCATCTCGGATGACCTGCTCGGTCACCATGTATGTGCTCAATGCCATCAGGTTTAGTCTCAACATTGTCGTTGATGATGATTGATGATGAAGGTTTGATGCTTCTCTGATTATATATATATATATATATATATACCATTTTCTCCTTCCTCTAAAGTCTATCATATCTGAGTTTACAGAGGTAATGTATCTACTGTTCTTATTTGAACCTTTCTTTTCATACTCCCCAAAAGTAGAGCTATTAAAGTTTTGCCACCGTTCTCTTTTTTTTTTCCTCAGGTTCCAGCAAAGCACCTTCTTCCTGTTCCCAGGCCAGATGCAGAAGTTGTGAGCATGCTCACATCTGGTTTGACAGCTTCAATTGCTTTAGAAAAGGTTCATTTTGAGTACTATTTTAATGGTTAGGTTGTATCTTCTGAATAATGGGTTTGCTGAAGAACTTTGTGTTTATGGTCTATCTCCGTTTCATCTAGTTCCACTTCTAAAACTGTTCAGCTTAACATAGTTTTCTTGTTTATAATTATCATGATGCTTTTATTTTTCTTTCAACAACCAATTACTTTATTACAACTACAACCATTTCTGGCGTTTCTCATAAAATTTGTTCCATATCTGTAGGCTGGAAAGCTATCGTCAGGAGAAGTAGTTCTGGTTACTGCAGCTGCTGGAGGCACTGGACAATTTGCGGTTCAGGTCAGTGGCATGATTATCAGTCCAACTAGCTGAATGTTGTCCTTTTTACATTTTTTTTCTTTCCCGATATTCTTTATGAACATTTATTGTGCTTTTTAAATTTCTACGGGCTTTACAAAACTTTTTTATGATGTGTGCTGGACATTTAGACATCGTTTGGGACAGATTTTTTAGTAGTTCTTAAAGCAGTTTTTTAATAGAAAATTTAAATTTTTTATACTTGAAAGCTACTTTAAAAAGCAGTAAAAAAGTCGTCCCAAACGAAGCCTTAGTTTTGAGCATGTGTTGGGGTGGGTGGTGGGAAGTGGGGCCGGGTCCTTCCTATTTTAAATGTCATAACTCCAATTATGGCACCTTTCAATATTCTAGGTATTAATGTTTGATTCATTGATTGGTGAATATCCAACCATTTTGCTGTGTGTAGTCGGTTTTCAAAATTCCAACAGCTGCTTTAATTGCTGTTAAAAAGTTGTTCAATCGAGTGCAACTATCCTTTGGTCATAGCACAAAATTCATGTAACTTTTTCTCAGACTTTTATAAGCAAAGTTATTGCGCATCTGTAATTATGACACGTTTTCAAAGAAGTTTGAAGGAGCAAAAATTTGAATTAGTTACAACAGTCGAGGAGCAGCAATTTGAAGGTTCTAAGGTTTGATGGTTATTGGGTCTTGTTGAACTGAGACTGCCTCATATAGGTTGCTTGCAGGATCTTGCTAGCAAGTGTGAGGGCAGTTGCTAAGGAGAATTAATTTGCATTTACTTTTGAAATCAATATGCAGAAAATAATAATGTTTTGCTATCATTTCCGAAAAGAGTGAAACCGTGTTTGATTCTTTCTTTTTATGCTTATTAATTGGCGTTTTTGTAAGTACCCAAAATTATTAGTAGCAATGTTAAGAAAATTAACTACTAATTATGGTTAATGGATGCGCAAGATTTAATCAAGTTGTATTGATCAATTTTGTTTAATGAAGAATAACTGCTTTAAATTATAAAATAACATAATTTTGAAACTATGAATTATGTGACTGAGTGGGTTCACATAAAGTAGTTTCTTGGTTATGACATAGTACTTATACAGTAAGTATATCATAGCATATATTGATTATGTAAGTTATAATACTTATGCTTTATTATGTGGGCTCCGAAAATTCGGCCCCGGCCTCCCCGCCGTTTTTTTTATTCGGTGAGGGAGTTTTAACAGAATAAGTTCCGAGGTAAATTTTGGAAGGCAGATGAGTTTGTAGATAAGACACTACCCAGAGATTTCACCCTCATTTGGTGAGAACTTTATGATCTGAGTTCTGGTTTCTTATAGGCGCAAGCCCCTATAGTTAATTACCCCTCCCGATAACGAGAGAGAACTTTCGATTAAGGCTAGTCGTCGATCGGATGCGTAGAATATATGTGTTATCTGGCGTATAGTAGCAGCAATAGAGGTTGAAGATTAGATATTCAAAATTTGAAATTTCATCATCTTTCACTTAAAGCGGATGGTGGGGGAATGGATGATGGGTTCTGGTTTCCTATAGGCGCAAGCCCCTATAGTTAATTACCCCTCCCGATAACGAAAGAGAACTTTCGATTAAGGCTAGTCGTCGATCAGATGCGTAGAATATACGTGTTATCTGGCGTATAGTAACAGCAATAGGCATTTGATGATTGAGAGGTTGAAGATTAGATATTCAAAATTTGAAATTTCATCATCTTTCACTTAAAGCGGATTATGGGGGAATGGATGATGGACCCGATCAAGATCCCATGGTTCCGTCATCCTGGGCCATCGTGGTCCCTGGTCTACTTAGTCAGAGGAGGTAGTCGACCCAACCTGACAGAAGGATCCTTGTCCGCAGCTATGGGTTGCTTCGTCCAAGGGGACCTGGTAGACATGGGGTAAATGTTTGTCTAAGGGGACAAATTTGAATCCACCTTAGCTGACTGAGGGCTTTGTGCCCTATCAATCATATCCTATTGATTCATATCTCAAGGATTTGATGCCAATAAGAAACGTATCGGCTCTGGTCATAATCGACATTTCGTGGTGCCATTTGGCGGCAAAACCACTCGGTTCAGAGGGCCCCGGGTCATAACCGTTTATCCTGCGGTGCCATTTGGCGGCAAACTGCCGGTCAGAGGACACGTACCACGTTCTTACTGGCAGGAGACTGTTTTGAGAATGGATTCTAGTGATATTTTTGACTAGGCATTTAGCTCTTTTGTGAGCTAAAGTAAATTTGAATTTGTCCACCCCGGCAGACTGTTGCGGAGGGTGGATGAGCTTTGCTTTAAGTATTTGATGGATTGATTTCAATTTTAAATATATGGATTTGAAATTTGTGGGATTTTGGATTTTGGACTTTGTGAAGTTTTGGATTTTGAATAGACTTTTGAGAAGCTGGAAATGCTTGAAATTAACCCCTCCGGTTTAGATCTTCAATCAACGCGGCCATCATCGGGGTGTTTGAGGTATTTTCCATTTATGGCTTGAACCTTGTCGACTCTATCAACTTGCCGATAGGGGATCAGGTTTCGTAGGCTTCCTGCCTTTGCTTATGAATTTCCCTTGATTATAGGCCTTGAAAGCCTAATATGAATGTATAAAATAAATATTCCGGTCAACTTTGTGACCGTATATTTATCTGATGGTTCGAACCCTGTCCATTCCTATTGATCCGTATAGAAGGATCGGGTTCGAACAAGAATTCACTTATTGATCCGCGCAACATTCCTAGGCGTCACGTGTGTACCAATAACACGCTCGTCGGGGCCTATGCGGGTATTTGGGAATTTCATTGATTTCACATACCCCTTGTGTACTTATGTGTATACAAACTATGGTGCACATGCAAAGGTATTTTGAAAGTATTTGTAGACGTCTTCTGTCCGCTTGTATGAATGTTGCGGATCCGGTGGCATGGCGTTGAGTTGTAGATTATAGATGCCTTCTGTCTGCTTGTATGAGTGTTGCAGATCTGGTGGCGTTGCGTTGTAGATTGTGGATTCCTTCTGTCCGCTTGCATAGAAGTTGCGGATCCGGTGACGTCGTTATTTGGTTGTTATTAGGTATTTCCTCTTCTTGACATTGACTCCCCTTTCTCAATCACCATGGATGTTATTTTCTGGAATTTGGGGTCAATGACCGCTGATCTGGAAAGAACTCCTTTTAGGATCTTCGGTGTCGTGAACTTGTTATTTCCGGAGTTTGTGGGCACCAGAGCTGTTTTCTTCTTAAGTATAGAACTAAGAAGAGACTTTGGAACACCAGGAAGTTTGGTTCTAATTCCATTCAAACTTCCTTTCTGCCAGGGGTATTCTTTTTCGTACATCGAGTTGCCCTTGTACTCGATGTACTTGTAGATCTTGATCACCACTGTCGTAGGTGATATCGGTACTTGTGCCCACAGTGGTTCGTTGTGCCTACAATACACTGTTGTTATCCACAAGTAGATTGCGTTCATTTGCAGGGACTCATTGTATCCGCTACGACCTCCTGGGGGTATTCGTAGGAGGGTTATTGTTCTTGCATCATATCCACCTTTCACCAATCTCAGGTGGGTAGACGATTACACTTGCTTGTAGGGGACAGATCTTTGATTGCTGGTCTCCAGTATTGTCATCTCAATCAACAGACATTGTAGGGACTGTTGTAGGAATTCGTACATCTTTCATGTGCATCGGGATTTCATCTCCCACTTGTAGCTTGTTGTTAACTTAGAGAACTGTGCATTTAGACTCTGATTTGTTCATTCATTCAAAGCCCTGGTCCTATGTATTTCATCAGACCCGAGTTCAAGGTCCAGCCCATGCTTGAGTCTTGTATGTCGTTATGGGTTCAACTCTTGGCATCCCATTCAAACTCAAGTCTCTATTTCGGATCCAGCTTGAGTTCAGTTTGAGTTTCTTGCTCTCCACATCTCATTTCAGTTTTGAGTTCAGAGTACAAGTTCAAGTTATCTTGTTCAATTTATTCCACTTTTAAATTGAATTCAAGCTTGAGTTCTATGTTCGGGTCCTCTGATGCTGCACAGTTCGAGTTCCAAGTACAAGTTCAAGTGCTTGTTCAGGTCTCTTGTGTAGTTCAAGCTCCATTGTGGTTCTTGTAGAGTTTAAGTTCATTTTCATATTGATTTGAATTTCAATTCTGGCTTGATTTAATTTCATTTGATTTAGGCCTTTATTAATCATTTGAGTTCTGTTCAGGTCCTCTGCTCATGTTCAATCAAGTTCAAAAGTCCACTGCTCTTTCTCATTTGAGTCCGGTCTCTTTGTTCTTTTTGAGTTCAAAACAGGTCCAAGTGTAGTAATATTTCATTCGAAATTTCGGCAGTCTCCCGGCGTCTCTCCTCTATCTAGGGGAAAACTACGAGAAAACTGGGCCTTTCCTGCCACACGCAACAAAGGCGTGCATGGTAGGTGCCCTCTTTCGAGGACAACACGGCTGTGATTTTTCTTCCCACCACTCGCAACAAAGGCGTGCATGGGATCTTTGACGGCACCTGTTACAATAAAAAAACAGTTTGCTTTCCCCCCGCCCGGGGGTACTTATGAATTATTCCGGATGCGCAAAGAAAAAAGTACATCAGGCTCACCTGGCATTGTCGTGTGCGTCGCACCAGTTTCCCTCCTACCAAGCTCAATAAAGGCGTGCATAGGTGGTTTGCCGGCTCGACGCGCATGTCGAGGCAGGAGGGAGAGGGTCGCTCGCTTATCTCGTCGTAGGTGTCGCACTGGGTTCCCTCCTACCATGCTCAACAAAGGCGTGCATAGGTGGTCCGTCGGCCCGACATGCCAGTCGAGGCAGGAGGGTGAGGTTTTAAGCGACTGTCCGTCTCGTCGTAGGCGTCGGACCAGATTCCCTCCTACCACACTCAACAAAGGCGTGCATAGGTGGTCTACCGGCCCGACGCGAACGTCGAGGATGGAAGTTTGAGTTTATGGATTATACCTTCGGGACCGGAGACCGGCGGTGGAGAGTCGTCGGCGACTGTCGGCGGGGTCA